AAAACACATCTTTTTAAAAAATTAACATATAATGTATTACTGGTTTCAGAGGTACAGATCTGTGATTCATCACAGTCTAATATAGTACCCAGTGCTCATTACATCACATGTACTCCTTAATGTCTATTATGCAGTTACCCCATCCTTCCACTCCTCTCCCCTCTAGCAACCTTGTTTGTTTCCTATGATTAAGAGTCTCTTCTGGTTTTTCTCCCTCTCTGGTTTCATCTTGTTTTATTTTTCCCTCCCTTCCCCTATGGTCCTCTGTTTTGTTTCTTAAATTTCATGTATCAGTGAGATTGTATGATAATTGTCTTTCTCTGATTGACTTATTTCACTTAGCATAATACCCTCTAGTCCCATCCATGTCATTGCAAATGACAAGATTCCATTTTTGATGGCTAAATAATATTCCATTGTATATGTATATATACACCACATCTGCTTTATCCATTCATCTGTTGATGGATATCTAGGCTCCTTCCATAGTTTGGCTATTGTGGACATTCCTGCTATAAACATCAGGTTGCATGTGCCCCTTCAGATCACTACATTTGTATCTTTGGGGTAAATACCCAATAGTATAATTACTGGGTCATAGGGTAGCTCTATTTTAAACTTTTTGAAGAACTTCCATACTGTTTTCCAGAGTGGCTGCACCAGCTTTCACCCACCAACAGTAGGAGGGTTCCCCTTTTGCCACATCCTCACCAACATCTGTCATTTCCTGACTTGTTAATTTTAGCTATTCTGATTGGTGTGAGGTGGTATCTCATGGTGACTTTAATTTGTATTTCCCTGATGCTAAGTGATGTTGAGCATTTTTTCAAGTGTCTGTTGGCCATTTGGATGTCTTCTTTGCAGAAATGTCTGTTCATGTCCTCTGCCCATTTCTTGATTGGATTATTTGTTCTTTGGGTGTTGAGTTTGATAAGTTCTTTATAAATTTTTGATACTAGCCCTTTATTTGATAAGACATTTGCAAATATCTTTTTCCATTCTATCAGTTGTCTTTGTTTTTTTTTTTTTTTTTACTGTTTCCTTTGCTGTGCAAAAGCTTTTTATCTTGATGAAGTCACAATAGTTCATTTTACATCTCTTGCCTTTGGAGACATGTCTAGCAAGAAGTTGCTGTGGCTGAGGTCACAGACATTGCTGCCTGTGTTCTCCTCTAGGATTTTGATGGATTCCTGTCTGACATTTAGGTCTCTCATCCATTTTGAGTCTATTTTTGTGTGTGGTGTAAGGAAATGGTCCAGTTTCATTCTTCTGCATGTGGCTGTCCAATTATCCCAACACCATATGTTGAAGAGACTGTCCCTTTTTCATTGGATATTCTTTCCTGCTTTGTTGAGGACTTGTTGACCATGAAGTTGGGGGTCCATTTCTGGGTTCTCTATTCTGTTCTATTGAATAGATGTCTGTTTTTGTATCAGTACAATACTGTCTTGATGATTATAGCTTTGTAACATAGCTTGAAGTCCAGAATTGTGATGCCACCAGCTTTGGTTTTCTTTTTAAAAATTCCTTTGGCTATTTGGGCTTTTCTTGTTCCATACTACTGTTAGGACTATTTGTTTCAGCTCTGTGAAAAAGATTGATGGCATTTTGATAGGGATTGCATTGAATGTATAGATTGCTCTAGGTAGCACAAATATTTTCACAATATTTGTTCTTCCAATCCATGAGCGTGGAACGTTTTTCCATTTCTTTGTGTCTTCCTCAATTTCTTTTATGAGTGTTCTATAGTTTTCTGAGTACAGATCCTTTGCTTCTTTGCTTAGGTTTATTCTTAAGTATCCTATGGTTCTGGGTTCAATTATAAATGAGATTGACCCCTTACTTTCTCTTTCTTCTGTCTCATTGTTAGTGTGTAGAAATGCCACTCATTTCTGTGCATTGATTTTATATCCTGCCACATTGCTGAATTCCTGTATGAGTTTTACAATTTTGGGATGGAGCCTTTTGGGTTTTCCACATAGAGTATCATGTCATCTGCAAAGAGTGAGAGTTTGACTTCTTTTTTGACAATTCAGATGACTTTTATTTCTTTTGTTGTCTGATTGCTGAGGTTAGGACTTCTAGTACTATGTTGAACGATAGTGGTGACAGTGGACCTCCCTGTTGTGTACCTGACCTTAGGGGAAAATCTCTCAGTCTTTTCCCCATTGAGAATGATATTTGCTGTGGGCTTTTCATATATGGCTTTTATGATATTGAGGTATGTTTCCTCTATCCCTACACTGTGAAGAGTTTTAATCAAGAAAGCATGCTATACTTTGTCAAATGCTTTTTCTGCATCTATCAAAAGAATCATATGGTCCTTGTCCTTTCTTTTATTAATGTAGTGTATCACATTGATTGATATTGTGGTTGTTGAACATTCCTTTGCAGCCCAGGAATAAATCCCACTTGGTCATGGTGAATAATCCTTTTAATGTACTGTTGGATCCTATTGGCTAGTATCTTCATGAGAATTTTTGCATCCATGTTCATCAGGGATATTGGTCTGTAATTCTCCTTTTTGGTGGGGTCTTTGTCTGGGTTTGGGAGCAAGGTAATGCTGGCCTTAAAGAAAGAGTTAGGAAGTTTTCCTTTCATTTCTATTTTTGAAAACAGCTTCAGAAGAATAGGTATGAATTCTTCTTTAAATGTTTGGTAGAATTCCCCTGGGAAGTCATCTGATCCTGGACTTTTGATTACTGCTTCAGAGTCCTTGCTGGTTATGGGTCTGTTCAGGTTTTCTGTTTCTTCCAGTTTCAGTTTTGGTAGTTTATACATTTCTAGGAATGCATCCATTTCTTCCAGATTGCCTAATTTGTTGCCATATAGTTGCTAATAATATGTTCTTATAATTGTTTGTATTTAGCCAGTGTTGATTGTGATCTCTCCTCTTTCATTCATGATAAAACACATCTCCTTTATCCATTCATCTATTGATGGACTCTTAGGTTGTTTCCATTTCTTAGCTTTTATAAACAATACTAAAGTAAACATAGGGGTGAGTATATCTTTTTGAATTGGTGTCTTCATTTTCTTTGGGTAAATACCCCATAGTGGAATTATTGGATCATATGGTATTTCTGTTTTTAATTTTTTGAGGAATCTCCATGCTGTTTGCCATGGTGGCTGTACCAGTTTATATCCCCACCAACAGTATATGAGGTTCCCTTTTCTCCACATCCTTGCCAACACTTGTTATTTTTTTGTCTTTTTGACTTCAGCCATTCTCACAAGTGTAAGATAATATATCATTGTGGTTTTACTTTGCATTTCCCTGGTGATGAGAATGTTGAGCATCTTTTCATGTGTTTGTTGACCATCTATATATCTTCTTTGGAAAAATGCCTATTCAGGTCCTCTGCCCATTTTTCAATCAGATTGTTTTTTGGTGTTGAATTGTAGAAGTTTTTTTTAATATTTTGGAAACTATTGGATATGTCATTTTGCAAATATTTTCTCCCATTTAGTAGGCTGTCTTTTAGTTTTGTTGATTGTTTCCTTTGCTGTGCAGAAGCTTTTTATTTTGATATAGTCTCAATCATTCATTTTTGCTTTAGTTTCTCTTATCTTAGGAAACATATCTAGAAAAATGTTGTTACAACTAATGTTAAAGAAATTATTGCCTGTGTTCTAGGATTTTTATGGTTTCAGGCCTCACGTTTAGGTCTTTAATCCATTTTGAGTTTATTTTTGTGTATGGTGTTCAAAGGTGGCCCAGTTTCATTCTCTTTACATGTAGCTGTTCAGTTTTCCTAGCACCATTTACTGAAGACAGTCTTTTCCCCATTGTACATTCTTGCTTCTTTTATCATAAGTTAATTGACCATATAATCATGGATGTATTTCTGGGTTCTCTATTCTGTTCTATTGATCTATATGTCTATTTTTGTACCAGTGAAATATTGTTTTGATTACTGTAGCTTTGTAGTATGTCTTGAAATATGGAATTGTGATATTGCCAGCTTTTTTTTTTTTTCTCTCAAGATTGTGTTAGCTATTCAGGATCTTTTATGATTCCATTCAGATTTTAGGAATTACTTATTCTAGTTTTGTGAAAAATGCAGTTGATGAGTATTGATTCCAACTCAATTATGTCTCCCCACCCCATAAGTTTTGTTTCAAATACTAGTAAAAACAATTGTTGCACTACTTACTAAGCATTGATTTTTAGCACAATATAACACAAGCCTACATTTCCAAAATCTTACATGGTGTCGTGAGAGAAAAGCCCAGATTAGCAATTTTTCTTTGTCAGGGTTGTCAAAGGTAAGAAGCCCAAGGCTGATACCAGATACTAGCTCTGGTGAGTCACAGGCTTACTTTGCCATTTACTCTATGTTGGGACTTGGTAGTAGTAAAAGTGCAGATAAATACATGAAGTGGTTGCAGAAAAGTTATCTTGGGCACTTTCCAGGCCCCAAAGAGGGTGCAGTCAAACTTGCTCAATTAGTCTGTATGCAACTCAGCATGGGAGCAAGGTATGATCTAATTCCTTTTTTATCTTTCTGCTACAGCACCTGCCCTTATAGTCGGCCTCCCTTCGGCTATGGAAATTTTCCAAGTTCAATGCCAGAATGCCTTGGTTATTATGAAGACAGGTACCAAAAACACGAGGCTATGTTTTCAGCTTTAAATAGAGACTATCCTTTTAGAGACTATCCAGATGAACGCACACACAGTGAAGATTCTCGGAGTTGTGAGAGCATGGATGGGACCTCTTACTATAACAGTCATAGCCACAGTGGGGAAGAATACTTAAATCCCATGCCTCAGCTGGACATTGGAGCCTTGGAGAATGTCTTCACAGCCCCAACATCAACTCCCTCTAGCATCCAGCAAGTCAATGTCACTGACAGTGATGAGGAGGAAGAAGAAAAAGTGCTCAGGAATTTATAATTTTAAAACAAATATGCACAGAAAATAAACATTTCTTAAAATATATTCTGGGTCAGTTGGTGTGAGAAAAAAAGAGCCTAGAATGCTTTGCTGAGAGTTGTCAGCCATGGTTTGAGGAGTCATATCAAACATAATTTATACCTTCATAAAGTTTTGATTAGTGAAACTGGAGTCCTGATGTTTCATCATAGGAATATTTAAGATATGAAGTAATTTATTTTTGTGTCTGAAATTTGTATCAACATATATTATCATTACTTTATCTTGGAATGTGCAAAATACTGAATCCTCACAATTTTATTGAGGGGATAGGGAGTATATATCTGGCATGACAAGTGTGATTTGTATTTTTATCTCAGGATACATTTATTTATTTTTCTCATATGATTTTTTGTTTGGTGTTTATGTAATACTTATGGATATTGTCTGTTTTTATGTAACAGTTTGAAAATATTTTGATAATTTTTAGTAGTGAATTGAGACTCAGTTACTAAATTTAATTTACTTTAATAACCAATTATAAGTTTCAAATATGTTTTCATGGCACTTGGGTATTTCCTTCAGCTAAATTAGTCATTTCTGTTCCTAAACATTTTCATCATCTTTTTTGGATTTATTTTTCCATTTGGTATGCATTGTTCTACTTTTGTTATAATTAAATAAACATAGATAAAATTGTTCTTGTTGGATGTTTTCTGTTTGGGGGATAGAAATAAACAAAACAAGTACTGTTCAAATGAGGATGGTTTCCATACCACATACAGATAATTTATTTTTACTTAATAGTCTCCAGAATTGCACAGACCTATTAGCTTACATGCAACTTGAAACTTCTTTTTTTTTTTTTTTTTAAGATTTTATTTATTTATTTGACAGAGACACAGAGAGAGAGGGAACACAAGCAGGGGGAGCGGGAGAGAAAGAAGCAGGCTTCCTGCTGAGCAGGGAGCCCGATGTGGGCCTCGATCCCAGGACCCTGGGATCATGACCTGAGCCGAAGGCAGCCGCTTAAAGGCTGAGCCACCCAGGTGCCCGCAACTTGAAACTTTTTCAACAAAGATGTTGTGCACATACTCTGATGCCATTTCCAAACTCTTTACATGTGTTGTACGTGTGACTTAAGCACCCCCACAAATGGAAGAGCGCCTCCAGATTTGGTGCAAGCAGCTGTCTCTGAAACCATGGAGTTCATGTGTAAGAGCACATGGAATTTGTTTAATTCACGGTGAGCAATAAAAATCTTTCTCGTGATGTGTCCTCATGGTGAGTGTCCACTATGGATGGAAAGAACCTATTTAGAACAGGATCAGGACCACCAGAATTGGGATCATGGTAGAAGAGATCTACAAGGCACCTGAACTGAGGATCAGAAGTAGCCACAAACCAATATACTTTTCCTTCAATGATCTGTATTATTTATGCAAATTGAGATTTTGTTACTAAAACTACTTGGAAATTTTGTATGGAAAGCTGTCCTAAGCTTCCAACTTCTTCCTTTACTAAGTTTGCATTTGTTCCTTAAGGAAAGGTTGTTAATACATTTCATCAGCCTTATACTTAATTGTATCTAAGATTTCCTCTACCCAATAAAAATTTTATTCTTATATTTTATATTCTTTATCACTCTGTGCAATGTCACTTCAATGTGGTTAAAGAGCAAAACGAATATCTTGGTGGAGAGAGCAAACATGTAACCTCATGTAGGAACTAAAGCAACATCTGGTTGTCTTCACAATTGATGAAGGAAAAAATGTGTGTGACAGTTTGACCCATTTTATCCCATCTCATTTTATTTTATTTAAAGATTTTATTTATTTATTTGACAGACAGATCACAAGTAGGCAGAGAGGCAGGCAGAGAGAGAGGAGGAAGCAGGCTCCCCGCTGAGCAGAGAGCCCGATGCGGGGCTCGATCCCAAGACCCTGAGATCATGACCTGAGCCGAAGGCAGAGGCTTTAACCCACTGAGCCACCCAGGTGCCCCAATCCCATCTCATTTTAATGACAGCATAGTGACTAAACTGGGTTTTGATGACAGACCTTATTCTTATAAACGAATTGGTTGGAGGAATCCCTTTGTAAGACAGCTGAATGTTATAGGGCATCGTTTAGTGTTTCCTAACTACCTGTCTTCAGACTAGCCCGGCACCACCAATTCCTTCCTTCCTTCTCCTTAATGGCTGTTTTAGGATGAGCAACAGTACTGGGATCAGAAGTCAGGAGCTTAGATTCTGTACAGATCCACAGTATAATTTGGGCTGGAAAATATGGACAGCTCTTATGTAGAAAAGTCACCCAATTGCAAATAAGCCTGCTTAGCTACAAATGCCCCTATCTGCTCATTTCTAGCTCTTTAAATCACAGTTGACTCAGACTAGAGATCTACAGACTAAACAAAGCCCTGCCCCATTGACACTAATTCATCTGCCTCTCCAAGTCATCAGAGTGAAATTCTCTAAGCTTAGAGCCATGAGCACATTCTAGTAGGATTCATTGCCTTGTTTGTCCTTACAAATCAGAGGTTATATTTGTAATAAGACTAGCCTTCTTTAAAAGTGTGTTGAAATGTCAATATGTTTAAAATGTCAAACTTTTCTATGCTTTGGACAAAATTGCTCTGGCTAGTTGCAAATTAAGAAAACTGCTCTCCGTGAAAATAAAACAAAAATAAATATAATCCCAATTTTCAAAAGCTTAGTTATCAAATTTAGAAAGGTAAGATCAGTGTTTCTTTAAATATGTTAGTTGGAACCCAAGCGTTTTAGAGATTCTGACAATATTTAAGTTTGGGAAACACATGCTATTTCTCCACCTTGGAGATTGTGAATGCCCATTATCATTGTAAAGGTTGTCAAAAGTTTTGCAGTGAAGAATCATGTTTAACAGTTTATCTCAGTGCTACCCAAACTTACTGGCTTGAGACTCCCTTTTTTGTTTTATTGATGTCTGCTAACATCTCATAGAATCCACTTTGGAAGTTGCTAATACAATTATAGCTGGTGGCTTTGGTTTTCAATTGTTAACTTCACATATGGTTTCCTGCGTTAGTAGCTAAATAAACTGGATTTTGTTTTTTTGTTTTGTTTTTGCACAAAGTATTTGATGATCTTAAAAAGGTAAAGAACTGAAACTTATAGTTGTGAGTTGCCTTTCTCTACTAAACTGACTCTTTAATGGAAATTGATATTGCGTCCAAGAATTCAAGTGGGCAAATGTGCTAAATTCCCATACAAGTATATTTTCCACAGTGCAAACCAGCTGTCAGTAGGATTATTCCTGAGCCAAAAAAATTATAAGCTACATTTGAAAGTTGTAGTTTAGAACAGAAGTTGAAATTCTGGGGATTCTATGAACTACATGCACTATTTTAAAGCAGTATAATTTTGATGTGGGCAGGGTAATTCTGAAAAATTTCTGGCCTACATTTTGGAACAGATTGCTGAGGCACATCATATTTTTAGCTTTCTGAATCATTTAAACTTTTTGAATTTTAGAGGAATTCCAAAGGCTTCATAATAAAATCAGCTTTCTAAAAAGTGTATAAGGAGTTACATTCAAATTCTTCTTGATGAAAAATTCCACATCCTCTGGACAGATATGTACCCTTTGTCTCTACATTCTGCATTCTAACTACTTGATGCAACATTACCTATCTCCTTTCTCCTTTCTGATAATTTTAACATACACAAATCTTAGTAAACTTTCCACCAAGTGATGAATTCTCATAGGGAAGTTGGGGGTTCTGCTTGCTAGACCCTTATATCTCTGGCTCCTTTTCTGAAACCAGGAAAATTTTTATTTCTAAAAATAATGAACAGCATCTTACATGTATTCTTTTTCAAGGGAATATCTTCAAAACTCTAAGCATTTGCCTGTGTTCCCTGAGACACTGTCTGTGGGGGCTGAGCTCATTGGAGCTCACTTAGACAATAAACAACACAAAGTTGGGCTACTTTAGCATAGATAATGTCTCAACTCTCTACTACTTTTTTATGTTCTCTGAAACACTAACTAGTACAGTTTTTCAAATGTGGTCAGTGCATCACTTCCCACAACATGATCTGGGATGCTTGGTAAGAATGCAGTCATTCCCCAGACCTATAGAATCACAGTCTCTCTGGCTAGAATCCAGAAATCTGAAGTTTTAATAAGCTCCTCAGGTAATTCTTCAGCATACCTACATTTGACAGCATGTAAAGTTTGTGAGACTTATTTCAAATTTTATCTGCCATAAAGGTAATGTAACCACACTGGTTTTTAGAAAAGAAAAACCTTTCATCCACCCAACAATTGCTTTTGTTTTATGATGTTCTTTCTAATATTTGTCCATATACACATTCTTTCACATAATTAGAATCACAACATATGCACACACTATGTGTACTTCCTCAGTATTTTATCATGAGCTATTTTTCATATTCTTTGACTTTATAATTGATTACCTTTCATGCTTACATAACACTGCTTCAGGCAGATGTGCCATAATTAACCACATGAAAGAGTTAGGATTGTAGTTTTTTCCAAACTGGTTTCAGTAATTTCAATGATGTGATTTCAAAGTGAGCTCTCTCACAGACCAAAAGGAGTGGGGGTACCTTTAAGCAACCATTATTCCAGTGACATGGGGTTTTGATATCATTTTAGAGGTCATATTAGAACTGAGCACTGAATGGCCAGGTAGATAGGCTCATTCTAGGGGGGCTTCGAGTCCCAATATGAAGGATGATGAACAGAGCATGTGGAAAGAAAAGTGTGACATGGTGTCCCATCCTGCTAATGGAGACACACTAGTATGCTCTTCTTGAGTCTACTCTGTGACTTACCCTCCCTAATGGCTAATCATTTTTAATATCTCAGCTAAGAGATCTTCCAGTTGTCTCCCAATGCTTTCCTTTTCTTTTTTGGTAAAAGAACTTAGTATTTTTAGCTATGTTTCATTTCTTGAATGTACCTAAGTTCTGGACTGTAAGATGTCAAAGGAATTTTCATGTGCAACTTCCA